AAAAAATATTCGGAATTTCATTCTATCCCAGGCGATTTAACCTTTTTCATCTCTATTTTAACGCATTCCACTCTTTGGCGGGAATTTTGTGGTAAACATGACATCGTACGCAGTGCGCTGTCGATTTTTCCAACGATAAATATGAGGCCAAAGAAGGAAAGGATCTGAAGAGAAATCCGTCTATTTCAGACTTATTGGAAGCCGCTTTACGTACACTAATTCCTATTCTAATCATTATCTCTATAGTTCGTGCATGATCACGGTGCACATCAACTGGCAAACGACTCTTAGTGGTCGTGTAACTGCCCGAACTAGTACATGTTCGCTGTATTTCGAAGTAACTTTATTTTATTTACATGTTCGCTGTGCTTCGAAATAAACTTTATTTACATGTTCGAAACTTCTTTTAACGTATTTTTGATTTTGATAAGGTTCAAGTTTACCATCGGCATGTGCCGTTTCATTGATAATTTGTTGATCCTCACGATACGTGTCTTAGATTCGCAGATTGATTGTCGGGTGTTTTATCGCTGGTTGCGAATAATCGTAATAATCATGCGCAAATGAAACGAAATTGCGTGAGTGAGATGGCATCGGAATAGCCATTCTCTCTTTCATTCTTCATTCTTTCACTCTTTCACTCTTTCAGCCTACTGCTCGTTTGATGATCTTTAGGTTTCAACGTTTGTTTACATGCTTTGCGTCGCAAACCGAACATTGCATTTTAATGCTGTTCGCATCGTACTTCATGTGACACGCAACAATTGTTCGAATTTCCAAAACTATTTACGGATTTGCTCTGCTTCTCTGCCCCAACGCATTGTCGTAAAGATTGCATGCACTTTCGTAAAGATTGTGAGTGTTATGTCATTTTCTATTTGTGCATTTCCTTGTTATAGGGATGAGGCGTACGAACATTGTGATCAAGTGAAAACTTGATGAGGTGATCCATTTTGGTAAACAAAGAATGCAAAAATTGAAATGAAAATGCGCGCACGTAACAATAAAGCGTTACAGGAATAAATGATTGCCACGAAAATAAAACGATACCGCCACAACGGAGTCTCGAACGTTGACGATACTATGAAAACCAAACATTGCTTTCTTAATTCATTCATACAGATTATTGTCCCCGTTCAATCCAGCCAATTAGAAATGTCATGGTTTAAACGGTTTTTTTTTAACTTACTAGAAAAAGTTGACACCATCGTGGTCATTAAATGATGAATGCGAAGACTCCTGCATCAAGGTCTATCTCCTCTAACCATTGTTATATTGTTATATAAGATGATCGAGTCATGTATTTTTAACCTTAATCCTGCATCCAATACATGCGAGCAATAGATGAATTACCATATTCGTTGGTTCGCTCGAAGATTTTTTTTTATTGCAAGCATCAATGAGTTTTACGCTATTTGCAAGTCAATTTTGTTTTCGAGTTAATTTAATACAATCAAATTATTACCGTATGCTTGCATACTACAATTAAAATTAAGTCTGGAAATTAGTTTAACCTAAAAATTTTCATAAATCATTTTATATCAAAATTCAATTGATTAAAAAAATAATAATTTTGTATTAATAATAATGATTTTAAAAGTATAAAAATAAAAAAAAAATCATACTTATAAGAAAAAATAATTATAAATCACTGACTGTAGATATTTGAACTTTTAATTTAATTTTTAATATTCTAATATATACTGTATATATAATATTATAAAAAATATTATAATTAAAAGATTTTTAAAAATAACTAATATATATATAAATTAATTTTTTATTATTTGATTTATTTGTAATTTTATTGTTTAAAAAATAAAAAAATACAATTTTTTTAAATAATTGATTATATTAAATTATAATTTTTTTTTAAAAAAGTTTAAAGTAATGCATATCCACTAGCTGATAACTGAAAAAGTACAAACCTATTAAAGAATAATAAATTAATAAAAAAAATTGTTTTAATATGATATATTTTTTATAATTTTTTATTAATTTTTTTCTAATTTTAATTATAAAAAAATTAAAATTAAAATTTTTTCAAAAAACTTTATAATAATTGTATATTAAAGTTTTAAAAATATTTAAATCAATTATAATTATAATTAAATTATACAAAAACAAATTTAAATATAATATATACAGTAATATATAAATTTTAATTATTTCAATTTAATATTACTAAAGTCAAAATAATAATATAAATACTTGCTTTATTATTTTAATTATTAATGAAATTTGAAATAATATAAAATATAATTATTATTTTTTTTATTATAAAATAATTATTTTATATTAATAATATCAATTAATTAATTTTATATAACCTGTGGATTCATAGCACAGTGGTTAGTGTTCTGCAAATCAAATTACAAAATATCAGTTCAATCTTATATGAAGGTGATTGAATAGATTAATATGGTATCTGGCACTATAATCAATTGTATGCTGTTTCTCATAAGAAGCCATTTCATATACTGATCCAGCGGGCATTGAAATTGTGATCTTCCTATTAAAATGTAGTGATGTGACAATTGTTCGATTGATGTCATAATAGTCATCTAATGAAAGGTATCATCATATATTTGGATATATAGACTGGACTATACTTCATCTTATCCAATCCTTATCAATTATCAATCACAACTATTCATTTGAATATATAGACTGGGCTATACTTCATCTTATCAAACCTATACAACACTTTTCTTTTCTATTAACTAGAAAATAAAGAAGCTTTGAAGAAAAACATTGTACTGATATTAATGTCTTATGTGATATGGATTTTCCAACAGCTTACCGAGTATGTATGAGTTGTATCCTGCTTGACATTTATGTCTCTAGATTTGGCAGCCTATACCAACCGGTTCCAAACTGAAATATCTACTAGGAAATATAGAAGTCATATCCCACTTGGCCATAAGAGTTCTTAGATTTGGCAGCTAGTGTCAATTAGTAAATCAAAACTGGAACATTTACTAGGGAGTACATATTTATATTGGGACTCTTCTGCCACATTAGTTATACAGTATAAATGAAAAGGTGTAATGTGATAAGCAATCTTAGGAAATAGTTAGCAATACTCACTGTCCTCTTAAAAATTGGACCAGTAGGTTAGATGGTTTAAACTAGTGATAGGACTTTCACCTCCTAGATAGGTTCTCTCAAAAAATATAAACCCACTTCATAAGTATCACTAATATTGCTGAAGCAATAAGTAGATAGGCTAGCATTTAGCTGTTGTAATAATAATAGATTATGTTTGATATAATTCAATTGATAAAATAAGTCAATAAAAAGTTTTGTATCTAATGCCATTCTACTATAAAAAAAAAAAAAAAAATTATATAATATATACAATTAATAAATTTTTGATCTATAATTTATATAATACACATATATTGTTATTATTGTTTTTTTAATTATTTTTAAATAAAATATTTGTCAAATTAATAAAAAAAAAAAAATACCGTTTTTGTAATAGACAAATTCATTAATTAAAATTATTTTACATTATTTCGTTATTGTAATACAGTATAAAAAAATTTTTTTTCAATTTTTAGATTTGTTCTTATAATCATATTCATTAAAACATAAACTGATTAATTATCTATCTATTCTATACCGCCTATTTTTTAAAATTAATAAATAAATTATACAGTAATCAACAACTATTTGTTTTTAGTATGTTATTATATCCTTTAGTAATACAGTATATTATATTGTGTTTGTGATATACTGTATATATAACATGATTAAATTAATTGTATAGTAAATATTTGTGGTATGTTAAACTATATTTAAGCTTGGAAAAGATACTGTATAGTAAGTATTAAAAAGTAAACAAACAGATGAATAACATTATATAATGCGGAAGTCGATACACGGATCCAACGAACGACGATCCGACTAAATCGCGACATCCACTCTTCTTACGTTCCTTCTGCTAGTGACTAATAGACAACGATAGATGGATTCCTCGAAGCTGATCCTTCTTCCTGTGAACTTATTCAAATTCCGCTTTAACGATGAATACCTTTTTCTGCTGATCCGGTCCTCATCTGAAATACTTCAATCTCATCATTAAGCTTAATAAACAAGATTTTTCGTATGATACACGATCTGGCCCGGATGTTTACGGAAATGGGGTCCTTGTTATCTTAAAAGATGTAATGAGTTGAAACAGGTTTAATAAAATCCGGATTTCCCAGTTATGCTTCTTAAATGTTATAATACTGTAAACCCATTTTATCATCGATCGTTCCGGGTTACCAATTTGCTCACTTTTCGTTCTCACCCGACGCATTATCAGATACTTCTTCGGGATCAGAACGTAGGATGTAATGCGCAAGGAACTCTATCAAGCAATTATCGTTACCAATTCTAAGACTAATTCGTCGTCATTCAAGACACCCTTAACGACGCCATCAAGTACAACGCAAGAATTAAGAGATCACAAGATTGATAATAGTTTCTCGGAAGAAGTTCGGACGTTGAACAAGATTCATAAAGATGACTGTTATACATACAGGTGCGTGAAAAAAAAAAAATCATCAGATAATATAATACATTAATTTCATGTGATTTGTCGGTGCCTTCCTTATAATAAAACTATTACATGTGGAATTTTTCGTATTTGCCTTGGTGCTTGCTTACACTTCGCAGCGTTTGTCAAAAAGGAAAAAGTTACAGAATTTTTTTTTTTTTTTTTTTAATTACCAATACGCACCTATGTACTTACAACAGTATGTACAGTACATACAGTACATACACGTACGT